AAGACGATCACCTGGCTATTAGTTAATGTGATTTCACTGCCATTATGCCAGGTCGACCCCAGAAAAATCGTATACGATATAAACAAGAATTGATTAGAGCAACTGGTTAGGCGGATTCTAGGGAAAACGGCCATCTTTTTTTCCAAAATGTTTGTCAAAATTAAATTCGCAAGCATAAGTATTGCTGACAGATCGGTTTCCTTCATGCCACACGTAATATTCTTTAAGCTTTGACGCATGATAATATTGTGAGCAGGACGCAGCTTCGGCGTCAGCTCATGGCTTCGTCTATCTGTGGCGTAAAGTAAATAATGGTGCTAGTGTTCATTTGGCAAAACAATAAAGCCATCGCAGACAAACACCATCAACTGGAAATTGCACCATAATTTTCATACTATCTATCTATAGTTCCTTACAAAGTTAATCGGTTTGAGGCGGCCTACATTTTTTACAGGAATCTTTTATGTTGAAATGATTTCGGTACACCACTCCGTGACATCGGAACTATTGATTTTTGGCCTGCCGAATGACAGCCTACGTAATTATATTGCGTGTTCGTTAAGCGTGCTTATCAGTTTGTAGTGGAAATCGTGCCTGACATATAAACTCAACTTCAAGTATAACGCTAAAAAACAATTGGAACACACAGGTTATATATAATGGTATGGAAAATCGGTTTTGACACAACCAGTGACATCTCATATATACTAGGTCAGAGGAAAACATGATCGACTCCGAGCCTTGGGTCCTTGATCCTGTTATAGATCGTATCCTCTCTGCTGGCCCCTAACGTCATAAAAAGCATTCATAACAATTTTTAAAGACGATATATCTTCTAACAACTAACCTAGATGGGCATTGGTGGAGGAAAGGACCCGCTGCGCTAGTGGAATGGATATTGCCTAACCTCAATTTAAAGATACGGAACCTTGCATAAGCGCTACATACTCCATTAATTTAAGCTCCGATTTCAAGGGCACTCATTTTTAAAACATTTGTAGATCCTGGGAAGCTCGATCAAGCGCATGTGAACAGGCGAGCTAGAGGCAATGAGAACATTTTGCCAGTGCTTAAAAACATGAAACATTTTAGAGTTAATTAGCAATAGGCCATTGCTTTCGATAACCAACACCCATTTGCATATAGATCATGTTTCCGAAGGTTGCTGAAAAATTATCTTCATAGAAAACAATAACTTTCGATTGTAATAAAAATGTGACACGACTTTATGGAGAAAGTTGAGGCAGTGGTGCATCAGTCTCTTTTAACCAGGCGCGCAGACATTGAAGATAACATGTCAGACCACGCTATCGAAGCGCATATTTATTTCGGACAGAACTAGGTCGATGAGTCGACGAAGAATAGGAAAGCAGTTGCTTGCTCTTTATAATTAGAATACAACTTCTTTGTTTCTTTGTTTGCGTACTCCAAAAGCGCTTCTTTACATTATAGAATTATGTAAAGCTGTAGAAAATGTTTTGCACGATTTTTGACTTGCTGTAATCGGTTCGATAAATATTCCCGTCTCGAGTCTGTGGCTAAAAGTTGGCTCTAATAATTTGTTGTTTGCCCTATTTATTTGCACACTCGTTGCGTATACGCTTCCCCATACATATCGATGCCGTTAGCACAGTGCCCAAATTCCTTTTATGTAATAGAACTTCCTCGTGCTATTGTATCTGGATGTACCCCCGTCAATTTGTGTTATTTGTTTCTTCATTGTGTTTTGAGTTTTATGAAGTGGCTTGCGAAGTCAAAAGCGGACGCTTCGATGTCAACCTAATTGTCGCGAACATGTCTTCGTTCCTGGGCCATACGCAAAAATATGAACCTAGATTTCAGAATAGCTAGAGCTTCTGTCGCGAACACCAAAATGACCCCAAAATCAATACCCCCCAAGGAAGGACAATTAAATAGTGTATGATACGAACACTGTAATGGTATTTATTTCAATTTATTTGAACTAATCTTGAAAATCTATTTAGACTTTTTCGGTCACTATCTGGAAGCGTCTAAAACGATGATCGAGCCTTTCTTTAGTGGGCTTGCCCGGCGAAAATACTCGGTTTTTTTTATTTTATCGAAAATGCATCTTTTTAAGTGATGCTAGCGCGCATTGTAGGAACTGCTTCGTAGAAGTGGCTTACGTAGTAGAGACTATTCTACGGATAATTGGCCCCTTGGCGGAAGCATTGGGTATGAGAGCCCTCAGCCGTTGCCAAGGCTACTAATGACTGTAGCCGATTTTAGATATTTAACTGTTTTCTTAAATATTCCTATTGGAGAAAATATACATTGGATATCGCTATGTGCAAGAAAAAAGGGCGAATAATAAACAATTACGGTTGCAAAAGACGCAAGCTGCAATTTAAAAGAAATCCAAGTTTATCTGCCTAAGAAAATAGCTTACAATTAAAAAAATATCGATTTCAACCGTGGACTCACCTGTACGTTATTGGGAATTTATTTTTTCGATGAACGCTTTCTGTCTCTAAAGTTTTTTTAAAATTTACCTTTTAAACGTAAAATCAAACACTTGTTCCCACTAGAAGTGGGTGAGAGAGAGAGCGAGCGAGAGGGAGGGAGAGCGAGGGGGATGAGCCTCGCTGAACTTATCTGAAGTTTTTCCAGCAGATCTATGAAGCGGCGTGGCAACAATGGCTATCTTAACTATTTTCCAACGCTGAAATTTGAATAAGCGATGATGGCGTGTAGACGAACGCTTTGAAAATAACAAAAACATTCTAGAAGGATCTAATCAAATTTGCATATATTAGACGTTTCACTCATATGCTCGTTCATGTGTGACAGAAATAAGTAAAAAATTCATGAAGAACTTTAAAAACAAGACTCTATTAGGCAATGATAGTTATTATGGGAGAGTTACCTACAACATCCGAACTTGATTCTCTAGTAGAGTAGTTGCGGATTGTACTTTTTACCAAAATCAATTAGAGAAACTTAAAGCGTTTAGTACATGTTGAATTACACGCCCTATTGTAATCTATTATAATCCATAACTTGGATGTTGCAGCTCAATTACTAAGCTATGAGGAAATTCAGATGGTTCCCTCTAGTAGGGATTATAAGACGTCAACATCGTCAACTTTACATGACATGTACGGAGAATGGCGATAAAAAGCTGAACCGACCGCAAACGAAATTATCGTTTATACTGATTTGGTAGAATCAACGAGGGCGATAATGGGAAGATATAGGTAAGCTCATATGTGATGTCGCAAGGTCAACGATGAAAGGACATTCTAATTAGCAATAGTAGGCTACGGTCAGACGCGTGGCCAAGCTCGACTTGAAAAAAGAGCATGTTGTCGTTTAAACGCAACAATACCCCTCTGTATGGATAGCCTCAGGATAAATTTCTGCTTCGTTTAATGTCGAATCGGTCCTACAGATCTACAAGTGAGTGCTTCCTCGAATGTAGCAGCTAGAATAAAAGTTTCTCTTATCGTATGAACGTATCGAAGTTTAAGTTCGCCGGGAAAGCTGCATGAGTACTTGTCAGTTAAGAAAGCCAGCGATCGTCGACAAATCAGTTCAAGCGTATTGCATGCAACTTACTTGTTGCTTCCCTGTATGTTTTCCCGTTGTGTTATTTGTCTGTAAGAAATCATCTGTATAATAGAGTGCCACACGCTGTACACATGGTATAGTATACAGTAGTTCTTTTTTTTTTCTTTGTTCTCGTTCTGCCCTCTGTTAAGCGTTTGCATAGTCCTGAAGGGCTCAAATGACATTGTAGCGCCATTATCTGTTGCAAAGCTTTTCATGCCGCTGGTTAGCTACTTGTCTATGTAGATTTATTTGGGCAGTATTACGGACGTCGCGAGGCGAATGCCTTCGACCTTGTAGCCAGACAGCCTCAAAGTTAGCTGTTTTTCTTTGCCACTGCTATTGTGTTAATGTCCCAGCAATGCAATTAGCAGTATCTAGTGCGGTAGCGATTTGAAGTACTGCAATATAAGCTACAGGATGGAGTTAATTTCGGTACCAAATCTAATAATAATTGTGGGGCCTATTTTCTTCGCTATTTTGTGTCTCTTGCCATACCCACGTAACCGATGTAGTGCAGCTCCAGCATCAATTATCAAACATAAATTTATTCAAGACAAAATCAGTTCATTCAGATTCACTAGAATTTCCGATATGAAGTAATTTCAGCGCCAGTGAATCTGCGTCCTCCAATCAAATACACGTAAAATTGGCAATCCAGTGCCGGATTTCGAGTTGAAACTTCAGCTGGTTTATTAGATAGGAGGCCTGCCCATCGAAGGTCTCACACTATTTATCATCGAGATGAGTTTACCATTCTGGGTCGCTATCATATTGTGTTGCCGTTTCCTGTCGGTCCCCGTAGTACGCCCAGGATATCTATAGAATAAGTCGTCCCGTTTCCCCAAACAACAATCCATCTAATGAGCCATCAAGCGAAAATACTCGTAGAGGTCGAAAATACAAGGAAACTAATCTCGAAGAGTCGATGACCTAACTCTGTACTAGTTCTCAACTTCTAAGCAAAGAAAAATCGGCTACGGTTTCCAACGCAGCTCTTTTGAACGGACAGTCGATCAAAGCACTGTTGAATTACTATTACTTCTGCCTAGTATACATGATGAGCAATCTCCCACTGAGTTATTGTATGTGGCACAGATGTTCCTTCTGATATCTAACATTGATTAGGATAAGTATTACACGCAACTTTTACGCCAAACGGTCGCTTACGCAGTTAAGGAAAACCCGTACCCAGCTCTAGTGAAAAAATGCGCATTTATTTATTAACCAGGTAGAAGAAGAGCTATGGCCGTTAGACGGTACTTCCGCACACGAGGGCATCTTCGAACGTTTTGAAAAGCTAAACGGCTAAACCGCCCGAATCTTCTGCGCATAGTTTATACACAGAATTGATCTAGACGTGTGCTATAGATAACGAATCGCGTCTCGACTAAGCGATTACGCAGATGCTATGATATGCGCGGGTAATTTTGCCATAGAGAGAGCTTGAGAAAACAGTGATTGTGGCCAAGTGTAGCTTTTTCTGATCGTAATGGCTGCAGACTTCGGCCTCTATTACGATACAGTTATTTCGATTGTACGTGCCCACAGACTACGTAATAGTAGGAATTACCCAATAACTTTTAATTAACGATAGCCGTCGCGCAGTGGGACGTTCCACTAAATGAAATCTAAAGAGCTACCTAACAACACCGTATCTTATCGACACCACGATTCGTTAGTGACTGCAGTAGCTTAGCTGTACAGCCGTAACGTACGACTAAATATTTCTCTTGAGAATACGATCGTATTTGTTAGTTTGAACGCTGTTGGACAGAAATCGTACTGGATTACATGAAAAAAACAGATACGTATTGCGTTCTGTGTTACCTACACGACTGTTGAGCACGACGCTTACTAGGAAGTGCTCGTCTGTGACCAATGTGGGCAACAAAATGGTGCCTGCCCGAAAAACCCTAAAAAATTACAAAATACTACCTAGTTTATAACAAGCTAGGTCAGATGTGAACTATGTTAGGACTCGAATTAGACTAGTAACGGTATAGAGCGGAAAAGATCTCGTACGTGCACTAAATAGTACATGTTTGCTACTTGAACTAAGTGTTACACACATTGTTAATATGTACTAGTATTTTAGCAGTTTAGTGTAAAATAAAAAGCAATAGTGCCAATATTTATACGTGACGAAGTTGGGAATAGCTACGATTAGAATCCCGATTTGATGATAGAATTTGACTTGGTCCGTTCGAACGGTAGCAGTTGTTAATGCAACAACGCCGTCTTTTTGCTGTTTTCTCATATTAGGCCTAAACGACAGTATCAAAAAGTTTAGAAATCTACGTCGGAGATTGGAGCGCACGGATCAGCTCTTTTCAATTGAAGTGTCCTCAAGTATGCGCGGAAAAGTGGTGTGCAGAATTAGACTTCCCGAAGATCGTAAATAGGAGCACGAAGCTTGCGGTTGAGCTTCCATAACAGCAGGCGCCATACGTCTGAAGCGGGCTTTGCCGACAAAAACCACGGCGGTACCCAATTCTGAAGGATGAGCGGTTCCAAGCATTTAAATGACAGAATGGCCAGCATAACACGCTGTGAGCGCGAAGTCGTCTTTTTCGCTCTAGTGGTATAAGTTGTGAATTTTTTTTTTGTTGATTTGATTTATTAAAAACAATACAATAACTTGAAAATTTGCGTCTATTCACTTCACAAACGTATTGAGATTCTGTCGTTTGCACGTTAAGGACCTTCTGCATTTTGGATTTCTTTTTCACTACGGCTTACCCATAGTCGGCGGTCATCCCCATCAAAAAGACTAAATAGGTTGTCAACTACGAACCGTTGCACAGATTGGAAACACGTAACAGTTGGCTCCTGAGGTTTGATTTCGTCACCTAACGTTACTATAAAATGATTCAATGTCTCTAAACGAAGAAGACTTCGCGCTGGCTTTATATGCAATCTGTCCTGACGAAGAACCGATCGAGGAATTGTTAGATCGCCACGTCGACGTGGGCAGACTGCGCCGGAGCTTCCTGATTAAGTTGGTGTCATTGTAGGCGGCAGAAGAAGCGAAATGAGGATCAACGTGAGGTGCGCCATCAAGATACACACACAATGTACAGCCTATGGACTAAATGATCATTATTACTATTGATTCATTTGTAATGAACCAATAACAGCTACGGCTTCATCCACTTCAAAAACTGTCTTTACTGGATATAGTTCTGTCATTATGCCTGCCTTTTGAAGTAATTTTGTCGCCACAGGGCGGCTTGTTGTCGAGCTTTTTCTTTATAGGTGCAAGCTGCCAGGACATAAAGGCTCTTGCATCTGACAGTTAAGCCCTTAATAAGGACATCGAACCCGGTTGCATGCGCCCCTAAGCAGTAACGTCAATTTTGCTAATTTTGAGGATGCTTTTTAATGAGTATCAGTCGTAAGACATTCTAAATTTTGCACCGATCAGTAGCTGATTGAGATCTTCTTGCCAATATCTGCATGTTTACAATGGTAAGAAAGATACGGCCTCGACGTTTTCAAAAGCTAAGTTTCACACATTAAGTAAAGCAGCAGTAGTATTATTATTATTATTATTACTTCAGTCATTTTCCTAGTACAGAACCATTTTTGGTCAGGATAATTATTATGGGCGTATTAGGCTTCCGATTGAATGTTTGCTAGTATAACGGAATAGTAGCTTAGGGCCATATGGGATAATTAATCCGATCTAGACAATGAAGCGAGCGTAATCGTCTGCAGCAAAAATAACTACAATTGCTTTCTAATGGATTGATTGATCCATCTTGTGGGCGGTAATGACAATAGAAATTAGATTATCCTCGAACTATCCATAGCTAACAACTAGCCACGTAATGATGTTAAACTCCGTAATCTTATGACGCTGTCGTAACTGTGTAGAACAACGGCCTAAACATGAGCGTTCGTTGAGTTGCTGGCATTATTTAGAAACAATCGATGTCGTTTGGGGGGCTGATCGTATTTGTCTATTCGCCGATAAATCATCCATTGCACGGAGGTAGGTCTATAGTAGCGTTCATTGGTTACACGATTGGTGAAACCACCATGGTAAACATCGAAGGGGACTAGAAAGAGCAGACCACTTTTTCGAAAGATTCAAGACGATTTATAAGCGCAATATTATTGAATATTCATTGGGATTTTTAGGATGCTTGCTGGTACAGTCCATATATTCACATTGGATTCATGTTCTTAACGAAAAAAGAAAAGGCGCTCATGTCGCATTTGAATTAATCCAAGCGGCTCTATAAATGGAGCTGAATGTGATCTCCCAAACGGTAAGCCGCTGAAGCAGCGAGATCTCTAAAAAAATAACCGCTCTGGATTTGATATGACCGTCTGGTAAGCATCCAAAGTAAGATCATTCATGTTATTCTTAAGCCATTATTATAGCTCAAGAACTGATTTACTATACTCAAAGCAATTTAAAAAACTGTCGGATCCCAACATAGAAATTATGCCACGCATAGTTATAACCTTAACATCGGACCAAGGGGCTAAAAGCTTCACACTAGTGCGGAACGAAGCAACCGTAGCAAGGACTAGTTTTGATGCACATGGTGCCGCCTTCACGATGGGGCTGCGTATCCAGTCGCTGTTCTTAAGCGTATAATGCCACATAATTGATGCTACTGAACTGAAAAGAGCATTAAATGGGAATGCTCAGAAAAGAAGATATTCTGTTAAGCGCGCATATCGTAAGTTTCATTAGTGAATATTTTAAGGACAAGCTGAACTTGGCCTCTAAAAATTGAAAGCCGGTGACGAACGCGACACCTTTAAGTACAAAAGTATATCAGATTGTCGAAATCCAATACACCAACGCATCGTGTGTACCAATTATGCTAAACGTAAATATTACTTCGTTAGGATCGTTCACGTTTAACTGAATCCTAGCAATCAACATCATTGTATGTTTATAGTATGTCTTATACGAAGTTTTTGTTAAATACCTAAAAAACGGCTTGGTAAAAAAATACTCCAGCTGGTCGAGGAAAGCGCATTGGTCTTTCTGCAAATAGTAAACCACTTTTTTTACAAGTTACGGCTGCCCGTTAGTAGTAAGATTCTAGGGATTTGTTTCACAGAATTTCACGGTAGGTAGAACAAGTACCGCTTTCATTGTATCGGAAAAATCTAGTGAATACATATGTCGTTTAGGATGCTTTTCATATTACGCCTATATTTCTGCAGATTCATGAACCTGTGCCTCGTGACTAGGCTTCCAATAACTTTTACAAGTTTTCTCATTGGTTCTAGGCAAGTTAATGAAATCAGCCGTGTCTCCATACAAATGTTCTCGTCGCTCATCATTGTTAGATTAAAACATTGGAACGCCGAGAAAAACTACTATGAAACCTTTGGAGCCAATAACAGAACGATTCGTTTTGAAATAAAATCAGTGGTGATGTCTAAAGTAGGCGAAATTAACGTAAGCGATCTAACGTCAGTGACCTAACTTTACATACGATATGAAGTCTGCGTAAGCTATGAAAATATTCCTTATCTGCCTCAGGGTTTCGAAAGTGGCACTCGTTATCTCGGCCAACAACAATAGTCTACCTAAATATTCTGCTTCGACTTAAATCTATAACCATTAGAGCCGTAAGCTGCGAGCGCGATGTTTACATTTTTAAGGAGTAGCTTGCCCTTGACCTTCTTTTTGCAAAGATAGTCTATCAGAAGCTTCCAACTAACCCTTTGGAGAGCCAGCTTAGGCCATTGCGTTTCAGAATCATCCGCTTGCGTTTACGGTAGCATGAGATCATACCCGGAAGGCACTTGCTCGTAGAGCCAAATGTATACTGCTTCAAGCTCGGAATTAGTAAACGAAAGATTTTGCCAGCTTTGTTTGATCATTAGCTATAAACATACCGAAAACATTGCCTACGCCCTTACCGAAAGTTCAGAAGCGTCATACTAATGTTTTTCGTTCACGTCTACTAATATCCAATACCCAACAAACGTTCTCGAAAATTCAGCAACGACTGCATCAACAAGATGCGTAAGCGTCGGAAGGTAGATAGGCCCGCACGTGATCTTGCTGTGTCGTCCTGCATCTATTTTATCTGGTTCTGTCAACTTAAGAAATATTAACTCATACATTCCTTATGGCTACAATTATCCTGGACTATTTCGTTTCTCAGAACATATTCCCTTTGAAATTACTTTGAAGAAACGACGGAAGTTACACATTTTATGTAGGAAATTTATGTAGGAATTTTTTTTAGAATGCCTCTTATATATGAGACAATACAAATACTATTGTATTGTTATTTAGTAAAAATTCCGATATTTCTCAGCGTCTATTAAATGTTCATACGACGACTTCGTCAGGGTTCTGCATAGTTCATCAAAGCCTTGTGCGCTTCTATGCTTGAAAGCCGTGAAATATACTGACAGTTATTCTCTGAATATTCTTATTGGGCGCTAGCTTAAATTTTGCCGCTCTTGCGGGTCTTGCCTGTCGTTCCAAATTTTTACGTTTGAAACTGGAGGATAGAAGACTTTAACATCAGTATTACTCACTCTAGACTGTAGTTCACGCTTCCTAAAATGTCGTACGGTTTAGCATTACGTTGTATTCGCAGATGAGGCTTTGCCCGAATTTGACCTAACTAATTTAAGGCAACGTTGTACGCCTTTAGGATATTAGTGAAGGATATAAGCTCTCCAACATATGGTTAAAAAAAATTGGCATCCGCTCAAAGTTTCTCGACGAACAAGGTTTTCACATAAATGTCTGTTCTTTAATAAGCTGATATCTTTGCGCTGCTGTTACACCAGCTACAAGCCCATTGAGCAAAAATTCTGCCTTTAATGGCTCCAAATAGTATAAAGCAATTTTTTTTTCTCTTGTTTTGCATGAGCTGGTCCTCTATCTGTGCGAAGCAAATGGTAAAGTTTGGCGCGAGGTGTCTTCGTTACGATGCTTTTTATTCTTTGAGACTTCGTGGGTCTCTTTCCTGCGAGCCGTCCGTGTCGTCTCGTTTCATTGTGTACCACCTTCGACATGAGCAGAGCCGCAAGGTTGTCACGATCAGTGTTACCAAACTTTATTATATTAATAATTTTTAAGCTAGACCATAATTCGACTTGTATCATTCAATAATCAGCTCAGTCTTATACGGCTAAATCTTGTTGTCTGGAAATTAAACGTAAGTTTCGGTTGATACGTAGTCTGATACTGGAGTTCAAATAAAATTGTATGTAATTGTTTGATTACGATGCGTTTGTTTGATGCGTTATGATCGGGATTTAGACGGATCCAGCTTCCCAGTGGCGCTTCAGGTACAACGGTTTAACTTGCAAAGGTATATGGCCGCTTTTCTGAATAGTTAAGATATCGCGGATTCATGAAAAACGTCGCGTGATTAGCAGGAAACAACTGCTGTGTTTACGTAATTCACGCCTTGTCATTTCATCTCACGATGCCCTGCTTCAGTCGGTGGGTCAGTACCAAGACATACTCGTAGTGCTGTCAAAACATATTTACAGATGTTGCTCCTGCCTCATGCAGCCGCTGTTGAAGTAGTCGAGATAGCCTTTACGGATTTGCGCGAAAAATGTACCTTCGTGCTAAGCAGTGGGGGCGATTGCTACACATATTTGTTGCGAACAACAACAAATACTCATAATCAATGTTTGGGCTCCTGCCACTATGTATATGTGATGCAATTCCAGCATGAATTAGTGGGGCAACAAATATCGAGCTGATTGGGTCGCTGTATTGGCAGAGATTTGCCACACGCACATGTACGCAAAAATACATCACGCGAATCTAGACCTCAACACCTCTTACGAGTAAATGGACATCGTGAATGGAGCGAATAGTGACCGTACCTTCTAAGCGATTCCGTTGGCTCCCCAGGTTCCATACCGGGCCGTAGCTGTAGTGGTCCACACGAAAACGATAAAATACAACTTTTTTGCGTTTTCCACCTTGGTTCTTATCCTACTCTCTTACATGTGGCATTTTCCGATGCTGATTAGTAAAAGAAAAAATAGAAACTTCATTAGCATCAAGGCGAGCTCAGTCAGCCAACTGCCGAAAGCCTTCGGCAGCAAAGCCGGGCAGCCCCCGTGTTAGCAGTGGTGAAAGGAAAAGGACCATAATGTAATTGCATGAAATCTTTTTTACAACCTCATTCTCTTCTCGTTTGCCTTTTTTCTGTCTCGTTCTATCTTTTATTCCTAGCTATTTCACCCTTACTTATTTCTTGTCTAGTTGCCCATCTGGCTGCGCAACGATGATGGGAAACGAATAGTGAACCGGAGAATACAGCCGGGCCTTACTCGTATGTTCTACTCTGTTAGATTCCATCAGAAACTGTAACAAATGCAGATAGAAAGAAAAAAGCAAGGTGGTACACAGGAAATCACAGGATGGAAGAAATTAAACGTGGTGGGAGAAGTCGCAGAGCAAACGGCGCTGGCAACAAGACTCCTGTACAGCAGTAAGAAAGACTAGTAGCTCACAAGCCAGCCACCGAACCTGCCGGCGATCGACGTCAGTTAGTGACGTAAGCCGTTTTGCGTTGCGTGGGAAGAAGATATACTCGACCGAGCCGATCAAGCTAATGCTGTTTAAGTCGCATTGTGCGCCCTACCCGGCTCGTAGCGTGACCCAGCGCTATGGTTGTACAGCAGCATGGCATGTTGTCATTACAGCGATATTTCTGGCCTGCTTGTGTATTGGGCTACGCATAGTAATTCTCCCAAGGAAGGAAGAGAAGGGGCAAAGAAAATCGCTGTGGAGCCACTACCGACAAGGTACGCGCAGGGCCAGTGGCAGTCCAAGCATTAAACGATTGTTCCCAGTGACAGCTGGGCAAGAGTGCAAGGAACAAGGTCTTAGTGGCACAAAACGAGTCTCTCTTTCTCAGGAGAGAAATATATGGAAAGAGCTAGAGTACAATGAAAATGGGGCGATGTAGGACGAATACACGAAGAATGTAAAAGAAAAACGGGGACAGATCGAATGCTCGTTTCCTATCGGTGGCACTACCATTAGTGCAACTGTTACTTCTACTACTACGGCCGGAGTTGCTGCTAAGGGCTGTAGCACGCTCTACCTACCCGTTATTTTGGGACAACTCCGCTATTTTCTGTTCTTCCTTTTTGGTTCGGCATTCTTGCCTCACACTTCGGAGTTCTTGAACCTTCGTGAACAATAGGCGAAGGGAATGGCTCCAAGGTACGTATAGCCGATTCGCTCGTAGGTAGATTTCGTTCGATTTCCCAAGGCCAGTTAGATCATTTGGTTTCGTGAAGAATATAAAGACGGAGAACAAAACCACGAAATTTTCTCAAATTTGCCTTCCGCTGCATTCATGCATTGTAGAAATGCGGGTGAGATTTCGGATCTATGTCCTCTAGATATAGTGGAATAAACAGGCATAAGGGAGCACGGTGTTCATGTAGGTTCCGATCTGCGTAATATACGGGCAGCATCTTGTATATGAACCCCAGATAGCGCGGCTCCAGTCTATGTATTCGCTTTGGATGCGGTCGTTTGTAAATAGGGAAATACGTCGTTGGTTTCGTCGGCTCTTTCTGCCAGTAAGGAGAGTGACTTGAACGCTGGTATTGCATGAGGGTGGGTTAACTTGTAAAAAAAACAACAAAGAAAAGCGAAAAAAAAAATCCAAAACCCAAAATAGAAGAAATCCTATTGCCTCAATGATTGTACAGATTCTCTGTATCAAATGCGTACATTACCAGGCTTATCAAACGTAAGCTAGCTTGAAAGTGGATTCACTGGCTTTATGTCGAGTTTTGTTATATCCGTACAAAGTTCCAGTAACTTTTCGTATCGTAGAATTATCAACTTTCGCAGAAAGCGTCTCATTTAATTCAAGCCTAATACCCGCAAAAAATAACACATATATAATAAGCACATCTGCATATTTTTTTAGGTTCACAACACTAATATTATCACTACATTAAGTTTGTGACCTTTTCTAGCAATAATATTTATTATTTTTTGCCACAGCCATAAATTACTAGTTTTTTTATGGTTTTCCTCTGTAAACCATGCGAACGTATCTCATATGTTTTACTACAGTTTTAAAGCGCATAAATCGGAATACACGCGCGAACTTGTTCATGCGAAAATAGCTTCGTGATTTTAGGACAATTTATATTTTAGCTTATCAAGCAAACGGTGACACAGTATAATGTCGTATGTGGTCAAAATGTCTATGCTAATCTCTTACTAACTATTCAACTGATTCTAATCAACATTAAGTATAGCTTACCAGAGAACGCAGGTTACTTAAAAAATAATTAATAGTTATACGAGAATACGATGTAGTTTTTTGCGCAGCTTGTTAGCCTTGTGGTATAGTACTTACTTAATGCTGAAAGCTACACGTTTCGTCATATTGAAGAGTGTTGTTTTCTAAGTGGCGTTTCAGTGGGCGCACACAAACAGCGACGGAACTCCTATTACGTAGTAGTCCTTAGCCGATGTTTCCTTTGAATTATTCTCCTTTGTTTGGATGTTCCCCGAGGTTTTTACCAAGGAAATTTTTCCAACCATGTGCGAATTAGCCAGCGTATAATGAGAGGTAATGGATCTTCATGCATTTTCCCTCCCAACAAAATTGCGTCCAATTAAGCGCTCAATGAGTAAGTCGGTTCATCTTACTTACGCCTTCGAAAAGTCCTGCTCACATACGCAACTGCATATAGCCGTCGATGCTTCTGATGAAAAACAGCAAATTTTTAAGTTACGAATTGTACATATATATACACTGGTTTCGTTGAACAATGTGGCATTAGCTCAACGACAAGAACGCGCATTTTAGATTTTATTGTTATTTGGTTTATGGCGCTGCAAAGTAAGACAAATGGCTGAATACAGGCGAGACTTCACGCAGGGTTTCATTAACGATAATACAATATCTCCTTTTCGCCCCCATATATGTGCCAAGTGACCGATACACTTGATCCTTTTATTAGTATTATATGCTGTTTCGGCTTTTTTTCCTTATTCCGATTTTGGCATTAGTTTTAGAACAGTCGTTGATCTATAAAAAAAAAATTATTGTTTCTCTGTTTCCTTACTTGTCGTCGTGCCACTATCAAACGAACTACTAGAAGGGTGACGAAGATGACAATTAAACTGGTCACGTAACGTGGCGCTTCTCCCTAGCTTTTCAGTGTTTACTCGTATAGCAGCATATAAAAGCACCGTCGCCCTGACGAGAAAAGCGTGCATTTATGAAAAGAATACGTCGTTTGAAACGTGGCAAGGCGGCACGCGTCGACAGCTGCAAAGTGTAGGGCCTAGAGTAAATCAAAAAGAACACTGCTAGCGTCCACGTCAGTGACAGGGGAAGAAATAAAGAGAAATAGAAAATGGAAATAATAGTGGTGTTATGGTCTGATCTTCAGAGGGGTACGCGTAGAAAGTGACAATATTACGTGGACATCCCTTTCGTTTTGCTCGGATTACAGCTGCTCCGACTGCGGATCTGCGGTTACTTCGGTCGCTTTGCCCTAACAAAGGACAGGGGGAAGAAACACAGATAAACTCGCCTCTTTACTGCTGAACTGAACGAATAGCCATCGTATTGGTATTTCGCTGATAACAACGACATAGATCTATCTGCGTGTCGTTCTCCCCTTTGCGCCGACCATTGCTCCTTAAAGCTCGATGGAACTTTCGTTTCTTCGTTAGCTGGAGTGCCTGTCTGGTCCATAAGACAACTTCTCTAATAAGCTCGTGCCTTTTAAATTTTTACCTATGGACAGCAACGCTCACTATTTCCAACTGACTAACTTAGCGTTTAAACTTATTTTTGACTGTACGTGGCAGAGCAGAACGGGTAGACCCGGCAAAAGGAAATGGTTCAGAGGGTGAGTGGCTGTGTGGAATGGGATACAAGGGTGCTTTTTAACAGTAATATGGGTCTGAAATGCGAGCAGTAACTATCTGGGATTTCAATAAAACGCTTTATTCGGGAATTTTAGACCCTGTCCAGTCTAGTAGCAAACCAGAGCTTGGGTGTCTCACCCAATAAGGGCAACTTTTTTCAAAAGAGTCGATGGAACGGGCAGCCGACAAAAAGAATGCGGAAAGCTGGACCTAATTTCGAACGGAAAAGGAGGCTATAACTGCATAAGCTTGGTTTCGGATAACGAAACGGACAGAAGAAAAAACAAGAGGACCTCGCAGAAACAAAACTTCCGCGTAAGGTTATAGAGAAAGCTGGAGGAGCTTTTGTTTATCATAGTAGCAGTGATCACAGTTCTGGGAAAACATATTTCAATAGATAACAAAAAAGAGGAGGAGCGGGTATGCCAGCACGCGATGACGGTGACTGTCCACGTTTTCGATCTGACCACGAGGAGCACAGCAATGAAAATATTGCTTGGCACATTTCTAGCTTTTTATGTTGTCTCTAATGCTTTATGATGGTGACTGAGTAAGAGTATTGTTTGTATGATATGTTCCAGCAGCATTATTCCGCTTTGTTTCGATACTAGATTAAGACAAAATATGATCCGTTGAGGAGAAAGTTTAGTTTACTCAGAGCATTTGATCATAGTGATATCCGCGATAATTGCGGTCATCTGATTGAAAAGCATGTTTATTTAGGTAAACTGTTGTGGAAGTATCAGTTTGTATCGCATATAATATTCATAGAAAGGCGTATCTATGAAAGCTCGATAATAAAACACCTCGTATAAACCTAGTATCCATGCGCACGGTGGCCTGGATAATTAAACGCCGATACGTAGTGAAAATGACATATTAACCTTTACGCTATTATGGCTTTCCAAGTTCTCTCCATTTGGCCGCGCACAAACGCTAACCATTGGTTGGCTACAATAGTACGAAGCTTGGCGTTTAGTTTTTCGCATCATCTTTAGTGCCTGTTTCAAAGGCTAAGTTTATCCTCTGAGTTTAACCGGTAGTTTAACTTCGATTACTGACCGCACGGTCAGCGACCTCATTCACTAACGGCGAATCTAATGGGCTCGTACAATTCAATTCCTATAGTTTTTTTAGCGATGTCAAACTTACATCGATAGCTAAAAATTCGAACGCGATAGTACTCGAAAAGTAATCGGACTCTGATCGTTATTCTCGTCGAAGCAACTAGTAGAGAGAGTGGCGAGATGGCCAGGCCGTACAGTACCCCCACTATCAACGGTAAACTCAGTTGTCTCTTTCTTCAGACGGGACTCATACGAGTGTTTAGGACAACTCGCTAATTATCGGTTGGAATAGGTAAGCGTGCCCACGCGCAACTCTGCAACCCTCATTTTTATCTATATTTGCAATATAGGTTGGCAGTACAATGTGCATAACGACAGCGGTGTTTTTGTAAAAATCGGATTCTTTAAAAAAAAGAGTGAAGTCACTTTGTTAAAGGGATACGACAGAATTCACCGATCCGAAATAAATGAATGAGTAGCTGAAACTTTTATCGGTGATCTAAGTTCCAAGCTAACTTCTACCGTAATTCTGCCACGAGCTCCAATCAAACTGAGTATAAGTAACAGCCAATTTTTTTTTATAAAGATATGGCTAATGCATTTACGCACGACCGACGGACTTGGAGCTATTTTTATTTGGTGCCACCCGAGTGTGGAACTCACGCATCTGTCCGCAGACAAATTAAGCCGGGCTCTGATGGTGTAAATCACCATAACACCTATTATTCGTACTCAAACATTATTTCAAATTCCTCAACGAAAACAAGAGGAAAGTTGGTCTTTTTATGTTTGTTCGCATCCTTCCTATCGCTCTTCTTCAAGTTTCCTTTCTGGTTTTTCAATTTTTCCTTCTTGTGCGTAACGGTCCCGAAATAAGGTCGTTCCTTTACACCAGTTCTTTATAGACTCAAGCTGATGATCAACAACATTTTAACCATGGTTCAAGATACAGCTAGCAGTACTCCTCTGAGCTCTTCTTAGTAAGCTTTATAGTTGAATACAGGGTGATGAGCCCTATCTGTTTCATCTTACGCATATAACATTCAAATGTGATACCATGCAGGACTGGTACTAACCGCGTCCAGTCAGTAGTAGGCAAATTCGCTGCTGTTATGATTATGCGAGACGTGCAGGTCCGGGATGAGGAGTCTCGTCCCGTTCTCAAGTCTATTTGTCGTTCATGATCATTCTTACCGCAAAGATAAATGAAACCATATGGTGAATCCTTTTGCTATCTTAAGGGCG